AGAACAAACCCGCCAGGGACAGAGCAGGGCCGACGCCCCTCCCCCCTCCTGCCGGCCGCCAGGTACATCAAGATCGGCGACAAGGAGGTGGAGTACCACCCGCAGTTCCGCCTCATCCTGCACACCAAGTACTTCAACCCCCACTACAAGCCCGAGATGCAGGCCCAGTGCACGCTCATCAACTTCCTGGTCACCCGCGACGGCCTGGAGGACCAGCTGCTGGCCGCCGTGGTGGCCAAAGAGCGCCCGGACCTGGAGCAGCTCAAGGTGCAGCCAGAGTCGGTCATGGGCGGCCGGGCGGCTCGAGGAGCGACACCTCCTCCCACCTCCCGTGAGGGTCCCTGGCTCTGGGCCTCCCTGGGAAGGCACCTCGTACAACATCCCTTCTCCCGGCTGCTGCGCCTGTAACTCCACCAAACACCAGAGTCCCAGTGGTGCCCCACGGCGTACAGTGCCACCCACTGCCCCGCAGGCCTGGCCTGGCTGCCCGCCCCCGGGTGCCCGCCATGCCCTCGTGTGCTTGCCACGCCCTGGTGCGTCCACACACTGGGCTTAGAGGGGACCCAGGCCCCACGCCTCCCCAAGGTCCCGGGGCCTTCCACATGGTGACCGATGACCTGCAGCCAAAGGGGCCACAGGCGCTGCACTGTGTGGGGTTCCCTGCCCCCCGGCTTCCGCTCAGGGCCCCCCACCCCACCCCTGTTCCCTCATCCCAGCCCCGGCCCGGGGCTTGCAGGGCCCTGGCCTAGCCCTGGAGGCCCCGAGCTGGGCTGTGTGGGGGGACCATGCCCATGGCCGGCTTCCCCCCGGGCTCTGCCTCCTGCAGGCGAACCTCACCAAGTCCCAGAACGAGTTCAAGATCATCCTGAAGGAGCTGGAGGACTCGCTGCTGGCCCGCCTGTCGGCCGCCTCGGGCAACTTCCTGGGAGACACGGCGCTGGTGGAGAACCTGGGAGAAGGTGCGCCGGCCCCGGCCCCTCCGTGCCCCCCGGCCGGCTTCCCAGGGGGCCAGGGCGCTGGGCCCGCCCGCCTGCCATGCTGTCCCCCCGCTGGGCTCACTCGGCCCTCGGTTCGGCTGCAGGTGCTGGAGGCAAAAATC